GTACTTAAAAACTAATGATGTAATATAGCATTGTTTTGACACCTCTGCAGCCTTGGCCAGAGTAGACTTCAGTTCCTTTCATCTTATTACTGATTGTGCTTAAGCCATCAGTGCATACCAGTTCAACTGCTCAGAAAGCAGTTTATTTAAGGATTCCTTACTGAGATATACAGGACTCCTTTCCCGTGAGAAAGCCATTTGCTCACTGAAGCAGTGTCAGGTAATTCTTACTGCTGAGATCTTTCCAGCTCCATATAGATGGCTAGGGCAATGTTTTAAATACATGCTTCTGAAACTCAGTAGCCAGTGCCCGCATGTTTGGCAGAGGTAGTAATGGCTTAGAACTAATGGCTACAGTGCTTAGAACACAGATAAAAGTATCTCTACTCTAAGTCTAGCTGGGGGCAAATGCTACTATAGTGCTGTGGGAATACTGACAGTCACCAAAAAAGCCAGCCGGTTAATGGTCATGGTTATAATTATCTTCTAACAGAAAGATTCATATGATCTCATGGTCATGTCAAATCAAAACTAAAATGGAATTAAAGTTACTCTGTATCTGACATGAAATAATTTTTGTCTCCTGTCTTTGCAGTCTCGCTGGTCATGGGTATTCCTACTGTGAAAAGGGAAAAACAGAGTTATCTGATGAATACACTGCATTCCCTATTATATGGACTTTCTGAAGAGCAGAAGAATGACTGTGTAATAATCATCTTTGTAGCAGAGGTAGGTTATTATGAAAACATGCTGTATGGTAATAACAAAGACAATATGGAAATTGTGTTTTAATATAATGATTCTGCAATATAGTGTCAGCCAGGACTTTTGAAGGGATTTCTTTAGGAGTGGAGAAGCTAGGAGGCAGTTTAGTGCCTCAGTCTTCAGATGTGGGGGCAAAAACATACAAACATGCAACCCAAATGGTGGGAGGGGAAAAAAGTCATATTGCTATCTCTGAAAGTAACATTTTCTATAACAAGAATGAAAAGTAAATCCCCTCAGGAAAATTCCGTGGAACCTGAAAAAATGTAGACCTACTCAGTCTAAGAAAAGTGCTCTGACATGTTGGAGCCTTGCCTTCGGCAGATGAACTGGCATTCAACAAGCTGTTTTAAAGTATTCAGAGACAAGCAATGCACATTTGAAAAAGTAAAAAAAATTCCATTTGAAATGTTAGTGGTAGATAAAATTTCTCTGCTTTCCAGTTGATCAAGACATTTTACTGTAGAAGGGAATTAGCTGGTGACTTGCAGAGGACAGACTAGGGAGACACTCAGGCCTTTTTTAATCTTTATTCCTCTTAAATTTCATGTATGTATTAATTAAGGTTAAAGGTTTGGTTTAATCACTACTTACAACAGCTTTTACAGTTGTAATACTATAGTTATATCTTCACTTCCCCTTTCAGCTTGGATCATGATGATAAGTAAGCCCAATTCTACTGTCTCCATTTCCCCTTCAGGTTTCAGGAGTGGACTTTATTTTAGAGTTGTGTATTTCCCAATGAAGAGCCTTGGTAATATGAGATTTGCCTAACTGCCATTCAGATAAATGTTCCCTTATGCTACTTCAGAGTTCTTTGAGTTTTCATGTGTTAACTTCTAAAACGGTATAGTTTTCCACTTTGGATAGTCCCTGAGTGGCATGCTTAACTAGGCTGTAGTTTCATGGTCAGTTTAAATTGCTCCCGTGAGAGCTCTCTCTCTCCTCCTTCCACAACATCACATTCTTTCAACTTTCTTTTTTTATTCTTTTTTTATTCTTTTTTCTTTTTTTCATTTTTTTCTTTTTTTTTCCTTTTTTTTTTCTTTCTTATTTTACTTTTTTTTTTCCCCCAAACAATGCAGTAAATTAGAACTGGCTGATGATGATATGAAAGGTGATAAGAGCATGCAAGCAGAGAAGGGGAGGTCTATTCACTGATCATGATTCCACATACTCAGTTTTCCAGATGATTTTAGAAAATCAAGTTAAATGTTTATGTCATGGGTTAAATCAGAGTAACTTACTGGCTGAAAGTGAATAAATTCTGGCATTTTCTTCTCATCACCACATCAGATTATCTTACTTATTGCAAACTTAGTGTAGAGCTGATGATCATTACTTACGCATTTTAAAAAAAATCTAAACTCCTAATGTGGGTCATGGATCGCTTTGAAATCACATCCATAAAACTTAGCACCATTTAATGTAGTTAACGGGTATTTTCCACATTAAAACACACTAAAATTTTTCATTCGACACAGCAATGAGTAAGTATGTCCTCATAATTTTCAGACTAAGTGCCCCAAGTTTGTTATATTAAGAAGCTCTATGTAAATTTTTTGGTATTGTTAGCTTTAAGAAATTTTGCTGAAATGACCTTTCTCAGCAGCAATAGGCTCTCTTTTATGATTTTTGGATGATTAATATGAAACATTTATTTTTATTTACAGTTGTACGACTGTGCTTTCCTGCCATAACTGGAAGCTGTAGAGCAGTTTACCCAGAAATTGGCTGGAGTGCATGTAGAAGCAGTGAGAAATCAAAATGCAGAAAGCATAGCTAGAGATAATTTGGTTATATTATCAATTAGGTTGGAAATTCATTTTCAGTTGCCTGAAAACTAATACTGTTTTTTAGTAGAAATGCTTCACTTGCTTGGAATGATCAGAATTAGAGAATAAAAATGAAATGGCCACATGTAAATATTCACTGGAAAATGTTATTTAATATTTAACATGAAATGGGTGAAATATACATATTACCCCCCCCATGCCTTTTTTTTTTTTTTACCAGGTGGATAAAGAATATGTTAACAGTGTTGCAGCAAGTGTTAGGACCAGGTAAGTAGTATGCTGTAATGCACATCAGTTAATAAATCCACTTTCAGCATTTAGGAAAAGAAATAGAGCATTTCAGTGATATGATATAAAATTCTAGCCTACTGAATTGAAACTGATATGAAGTGAAGTAAAGGTGCATGCTTAGTATATGCATCATAACTGTCTGTGAAATTCAAAACACAAAGATGGGTATCAGTTTATTTTATTTTTCTCATTTTATAAATATTCTTCAAGTAATCAAGTAAGGCCTCTGATAAATGTTTACTTACTAAGTCTTTTTTCCAGTGAAATTCATGATGCAATTCAAAGCACCTGGGGCTGTATGTATTATGTCCCCACGGACTACAGTGCTCCGCAATGTATTCTAACGTCTTCTATGTTTTCCAAATATTTTTGTTTCCCAATTGGTCCCTTTTGCATAAAGGCAATGGATTTTGGCCAGCAATCAGCTTCTATTATAATATTAAGCGATGGATAGCATGAGATGCATGTTCTTTGCTATGCCGAGTTAAAGCAGCAGTCATCAAATGAAGGCTTGGTTTCCATTGCTCTCACTTTTTGTTTTCTCTTTCCCATTATTTACTGCAGATATTTACAGCATCATGTGCATGTGAGAAAGAGTAGTTTGAGAAGAACAACTACTAAATTAGAGTGTTTGGGAAAAAAAAAATCATTGAGAGCATTATTTGGAGAGACAGGCTTTCCGAAACACACATCTCCTCAGTGTTTGCTGTGGCTTAAGAGAGTAGTGTCCTGCCAGTTCTGCTAGTTGTCAGAAATCCTTTCTTGGAGCTTAATGTCTCAACTTACAAAATAGGTGATTTGCGTTTTTTGCTGGAGTTGTGAATTCTACTTTGAAGGAGTAGACCTAAGTTTTAGGAACTGCTGTCTTTGGGGGTCTCCCTAAACTTCTCTTCACAGCTTCCCTAGTGAAGTCCAGTCTGGAGTCCTGGAAGTTATTTCTCCTCCTGCTTATTATTATCCAGATCTTTCCAACCTGAAGAAAACATTTGGGGATTCAGAGGACAGAGTAAGGTAATATAGCTGTATAAAATCTGAGAACTTTTTCCAAGTGTAAAATGGAAAAGTCTGTGAAAGTCAATATTGTCTGAGCAGTGAATTTCAGAGATAATGGACCTTCGGTGACTTTTTTTTTTTTTAATTATTACACAAGAGTGTCGTGAGAAAAGCTACACTTCCTACTGTACATCATCTTCAGGGTGAGAGCTAATGGTTCTTCCATGGGCCTGGACTATAGGTATCCCATGGGTTTTAAACCAGATGGAAAATACCTGGTAATGATAGGCTAGATGATTTGGTAACAGAGGACAAAAATAGGAAAATGTTTTTTTCTGATGATAAGGGAGGGATTACAGAAAGAAAACCTCATGTGGCCTTGTAACTAACTAGTAAGAACTACTGCAGGTTTAATTAATGACCAAACTTTTGGTGCTTGTAGACTTTATTTACTGCTATTAATAACACATCCTAACTTCTGGGAATTTTGTTGGCTCGCGTGCACCGAATTCATTAAGACAGAGATTATAACTTGACAAAATTGATTTACTATGGGAAAATAATTGTCTTTTGACCAGCAGTAATGGTAACTTATTAGGAAAAATAGTTTCTCTGATTTCAAAGAGCTTAGAAGCTACCCAAACAATGCCAGAGGGAGGACTATAGTATTTAAACTTTATGGTGAAGGAAATTAGAGAATGTATGTATGCACAAACATATAAAAAAATATTTATACACATATTTATATGTGTGCATGTATATGGGACTTACAGAAAGCCTGCTACCCTCCAGAACATTAATATGTTTATGTACTTTTTGAGAAATTATTAGATTTGAATTAGACACAATATAGATACACTTTGATGTTAATTGTTCTAAATGGTTACGAATTACCAAAAATTTAACATTCATTATCCAATATGAACTTTATTTTTTAGTAAAATGAGACATACTTTATGGAGAAAAATATGTGTTTACATTGAAACTTGATAATGAAGCTTATCAACCTGCTTCTATTTTGCAGATCAGTAAAAACACTCAATTTTAAAGCATTTTGAATAATCTCTAAATAATTTTGCATAAATTTCTGTTGTTCACAAAATGACTAGCATTATTAAGTCATTTAACAAGACACATATTAATACGTATACATATTAATTAAAATTTTTGTTTCAGGCTTAGTTGATAGAGATTGATATATTTTGCTTAGTTACCATTAAATTTAAAAGAAAAGTTGAATTATTTACAAATGCTAACACTGATTATGGGGGAAGCTTTAAAGAAGAGGTTATTTTAAATAAAAAAATAAGACTTGCTTTCTGCTTTCTCTTATTCCTCTTATTCACTTAACAATGAGTTATTCAGCTTTATGATTGTTTTAATGCTTTTATTATACAAATAACTCTTGCAAAACTGCAAGAAAAACTTACTAGAATTTGCTGCTTACATTTAGGTGGAGAACGAAACAGAATTTGGATTATAGCTTTTTAATGCTATATGCCCAACCTAAGGGAACATTTTATTTACAGGTATGTTCACATTATCATTAAGTAGGTACAATACTGATTATTTCTGTGGTGTGATATACATCTTGCAGATAGGTGCCATTTGATTAAATCTACCTTTGCCTTCCTAACATTTATGGGGTTGTAAAACAAGGCATCTGAAACACTTACTAGGTTAGGGGTGTTAAGAGTTTTAATGTGTTTCTACTTGGCGAGTAAACAGACAGAGTGGTGGTAGGTCCAGGCGATAGCCCAGATAATGCCAAGAAAACAAAAAATTAAAGAAAAGAAACATTTCCAAACAGAGAAACATACTGACATGTTTCTGGAGACAAGGTAAAGTTATAGTATAAGTGGCTACAGATTCTATAAATTCTCCAGAATTTTTAGTGTTAGAAGAAGATCCACATGCATTTAGGTGTTCTAGGTTTCTGCTCATTAGCACTCCTAAATGACAAAATTTTAGAATACTGTAATGGCTTAGGCAGCTTTGCGGAACCTGTTAATAAACAAAAACAGTGGCTCTACTGGGAAGTGACTTTTTAACTCAAGTATACCAGGCAGAGTCGTATCTGACTTGGCTGTAGTATGATTTAACCCAGAAGGGACCAAGTGATGTTAAGGTTTTTCTCCAAGCTTGAGACGCAGCCTGAGTTAGAGGGCCTTGCTCATTCTCCATGGTAGATCTTGCAGATCTGTGAGATCCATTCAAGCAAACGCCTGCACGCAGAGACTTTCTCAGCCTTACTCATTTTCCCCAAGGCTTGATACCACATGAGTGTATCACACAATCCCAGGAGCAGAAGAGAAAACCAAAAGATATCGCATACAATTCTTGTCAGAAACTGACACAGATACAACTGAGCTTGGCTACTCAAGGTCTAAGCTCTGTTCTCAGATTTGGCACTCTTGAGACACTTCTAATAATGAACTAAGAATGAATCCAATGGGGTTTTAACACAACCATTAAGCAGGTATTCACATCTCACCCTAGCTGTGAGGAGCTGTGTTTGTTCTTTGTTCCACATAGACACACTTCATTCTGAAGTAATGAAAGATTTCAAGGCTGGAAGCAGCTTTGAGAAACTTGGATACAGCAGTTTTTCAAGGCATTTTCTGTAAACACTCGGGGGAACTGAAAATAAAACATAAAATACATTTTACCATCTTCAGTTAAAATCTATTATAAAATTCAGACTTATTTAATTGAACTCTGTACTTTTTTCACCTCATTAGTTGAGAGATTTTTTTTTCCCTCCAGTGAGGTTAGGAGAGATGCACTGTGTCTATGCAACATATATAGCGAGAGACTGACGATATACACTGCCAGTAGCACTTACACAGAGATTATAATATTTTTCCTAGTATAGCTATTTAATGGTTTTAAAGGCTGAACAAAAGCAAGGTGAAGTCATTAAGAATTCTTTTAATGATTTTATTCTTGTTTTTCAGCAGGCTCTAGGTCTAGTCTTCTATTTGCTTATTCTAAATAACCTTTTTTTAGCCTATTTCTTCAAAAAGCAATGAGAGAGGATCTTAATGGAATGGACCATTAGCGGTTTATTGTATGTGAAAAATGAGTGAATAAGATTTTTCAGCTTCACAGGCTTTGCATATTTGTTTAATAGTGATTTAAAAGGTAAAAATACATTAATACAATTTAGAAATATGAAATGGAAGACACTTTTCTGCCAGATTCCTGCACTTCTGTTGTATCCCATGTATGTATTGCTTTTCTGTTCCTACCTCATTTTAACTTCTCTTAGGCAGATAAGCCACATACTAAGAACAAATGGAAAACCCATTTATTGTTTGTAACTTAGGAAATTTACATTTCTTTGCTACTGTGCACGGACTTTTTTTCATCAGAAAGTACTGATGAGTAAAGGGAAATACTTTAAAAAAGGGATGGTGATTGCGTTTTCTGCTGTCCATTGCAGAACTTCCTTTGGTGCCTAAAAGCACATGAATGACCAATAGCTATAAGCTAAAGCCAGAAGAAAATCAAATTAGAATTGTGGTACAAGGATAAATGCGTATAGCATAACTTACTGAAAAAGAACAGACACTGAAATCGCTAGGCAATAGTAGATGCTCTTCAAGTAGTTTAACTGAACACACTTTAACTGAACACAAATTGCTCAGTACAGCACGGGATTAAATGATTAATGTCATAGGCTACATAGGATGTCAAACTACATTGTCTAATAATGACTTTCAATAGTCAGCTCCAGGAGGAAAAAAGGTTTTTAGGCTCCTTTCTATGTAAACTAATTCCAGTGCATCAGTGCATTTTTTGCACATGCCTCTGTATTCTTCAGCCTTCCTGCTTCTTTACATTTTCTTCTAGTCTTTCTTAACGTGGTACTCTGGCTTTTCTCTTTTTTTTTTCTCTTCTCTTTTTTTTCCTTCTCTTTTTCTTTTCCTCTATACAGCTGTGGTTTTTTTTCTCCTTTTTTGTGTCCCTTCCATTTCATTCTGAGGATTCTCTGCAGCTCTTTGTGATTCTTCACTGTTCTTCTCCCTTTACATCTAGCTACTGGATAATGCTCGTTGCTCATTTGATTTTATGCAGAATTTCTTCCTCTCTCTCTTTTTTTCTCTCTCTGTTCTCAACTGTAGAACTGACACCTCAGCTCAAATGTCAGATTTCAGATTGTGTTAATCTCAGCACATCTCTACATCTCAGTTCATATCTATCAAGTTTCATTCTACTCCGGCCTCGTTTCACTGTTGACAACACCACTCCCACCCCCTTCACTCATAATAGTGGTAAAATTCAGCTGAAAACTGTGTGTCTGCTCTCTCCTTACTGTCTCCCATGAACTGTTACTTTACTGCTGATTCTACACTAAGTCAGTTGAGTGTGCAAAATTTGCAGGAAACAATGTGCTTTTTTTTTTCCTCTTTTCATTTTATTTTTTTCTTCTTCAGGATTTTTTTTTTCCTAGAAAGCTATGTGAAAAATGCAGCGAAGTCCTTTCTCATTCTCTTGAGGGCTACCACTCTCCTCCTCTGAGTATGCTTCAGTTGATTCTCTTCATGTATCCAGTTTGAGCCTTTACAGCACCCTGCAAGCTCTGTGTTTCTGTCCTTCATTGTGCTTTCCCAGCATGTACCTTCTTTCTTGGCTAGTATTCTCTGAAACGCCTCACCTCCTACGAGTGTCTCAGTAAGTATCTTCAGTTCTTACCCCTATTTCACCATTTGGGTATGACAGTTTGCCCAGGCTAATCTACAAAGCTTCTAACTATTTTACTTTTTATGTCTCTCTACTTATTGATGCTTTTACAGCCTTGGTGCAAATTGCCTACTATCCTCTCCATTAACTTCAATTTGTTCCCTATTTACTTTTGAGTGTTAGTTATTTAAGATAGAGACCTCTTCTTTTTTTGAAAAAGTAGGAATCACTCAGTCTGTTATGGTCACTGCTGTAAATAAATATTTAATGAACATTACTGAGATATCTGTAGAAACTAAGTATAAAAGCACTTCTGCTTGGCACAACTTTGGTAAACACTCTACAGCAGTCAAGCACAATGTGGTTGTCGTTCACATGTGGCAACATCACCCCCGCCTCTGTAAGCCATAAAACCACCAGTTGTCTTGTTCTGTATTTTTTTCTGCCCAGCTGGAAGATGATATTATAGCCAAATCTGAGTATTTTCAAGCTATAAACAACTTCGCTGCTAAACAATCCCAAGAGTGGATGATTCTTGAGTTCTCCCAACTAGGATTTATTGGTAAGTATTTAGGCCCAGCAGGGTCAGCTGGATTTGATCTGAACATTTATATAAATAGAGTAGGTCTCACACATGAGAATTACATTAGTCCTTCTGTGCTTTGTAATGTATCAAAACTTCCTTGGTTCTTCAGGAAATGCTAAAATTTCAGGAAAGCTCCCATTTGAAGTCTCACTTTCTGTGTCATTTGACAATGTCTTTTTAATACACAATCTCCTCAGCATAGGATCTAGTTCTTGGGTTCCCTTAAGAAGCGCATCGTTCCCCTCAGGACACCACAGGCTTCTATACCATAGCCGTTGCAAGTTGCACAACCTATGAAGAATCTGCTTTCCTTTATGGAGCATTTTACAGTGAAGATTTTAAAATTATTTTAGTAGCAGTACATTTATTTGTGTATATGTATATATATGCACACACATATTTCTTTGTATTTTTTCTTATTTTTGATGTTTATCTTATATACCACTGTTACTATTAAATAATTTTAACGCAGCAAAATCTGGTCATAAAAATATCAGGAGAACCAAATGAGTAAGGATTGTATTTTATAAAGCATTTTTTTCATCCTTAAGACTTGATTTTAATATATAACACTACAGTATTCCCAGTGAAATTGTATGTCTAACATTTTGATAATATATGCAGATTTTGTATCTTACGGTACACTGACACTGGTGACTAGCAGGTTTGTGTTTAGGATATAAAAATTGTGTTTGATCATCTCATTGGCTATTTGGTAGTATTTCCAGGCATGGGGATGGAAATCTTTTCAAAATCCCAACAAGCTGGAGGGAAAGAAAATCATCAGAGCTGAAGCCTGTATGAAGTTTCCACTAAATGTCAGAAATGCATCTGTGTGCTTATGGGTAGTGGAAGTAGTCAGTGGTTTCTGCCCAGCAATAAAAATATGAGATTATACAATTTAATAATGTCCTGCTTTCAGGGAAACTGTTTAAATCAGAAGATTTGCCGTTCATTGTGGATTTTTTTCTCATGTTCCATAAGGATAAGCCCATAGACTGGCTTCTAGATCACCTCCTCTGGGTTAAAGTCTGCAATCCAGAAAAGGATGCAGTAAGTATGTCCGTGAACTTGCAAACAATACCAGTGACAAAATAATTTATTTTCAAAAAACAGCATACAAATCATTTAAACTTGATTTACCCAGTTTGGAATTTGTGAGGAAAACTTTGCCATTGATCTGCATGGGGCCTGAGCCCACCAGGTGCTGCTGAGAGGCCTGGCTGAAAGGCGCCGGTCTGTGTCGGAGCCGCTGCGCTCGTGTGAGCTCAGCACGTGGGCAGCGCGAGCTCGCAGCTGCCTGCAGGGCTTCACGTAGGCAGCAGCACACTGAGCATGTTCATATACAAGCCTGTGCAGACCCTTGCTTCTCACGACATGAAGGTTGGTAAAGTATGCTTTTTAAAAAAATCATAGTTGCTCTGAGTTTTGTGCACCACTTCTTTTCTCTCAGAAAGTGGTGCTTGTCTCTTTTGTTTTAAACCTTACATTACATGCAAAAAAAGAGAAAAAAAAATGCAAAGAAAAAATTTAGACTGAATAGAGTGAATGATACTTTTTTTTTTCCTCCCAAAAATGAAAGAACAGTTGGGTTGAACTGCTTAGAACTGAATGAACTGAATTTCTTTCAGTATAGGTTTACTCAGTGATACGTTAAATATTTATTTGTCTTCTCTAACGAGGCACTGGTGCCTTGTTAGACCATGCTTCTTTTAACAGCCTTATGCCACAGAGGAATGATTATATTTCTGCTCCTTTTGTTTTTTTAAGGTTCAAGAGTTTCATTTGATTAGTGTAGTGAGTCCCCACTCCAGGTGCTTGCACATGTGTTACTTTTGTGTTGATAAGGAGGAAGAGAAACATAGAGGATGCACAGAGCTTGAGACTGAGGAGAGCTGAATCAACGGGCTTCAAGTTTTACTGTGTAGGAGAGAGGACTCCTGGGGGAGGCAGAAAGAGCCTGGTTTTGCATTTCAGCAGTGTCACTGAGGAGTCTCCATTCTTGCCTTGCACACATGGAATTAAGCATTGAAATTCGACAGCTTTTGTTAGGTGGGCTCAAGTTAGGAGTTACAGTGGGGCTTACACAACTCTAATTTAAGCTTCTGCCTGCCTGAGGTAGCAGAGGTCAAAAATGAAAATCATCATTTGCCTGTTTGACTAGCAGCAGCACAGAGCGATCAGCTCACGTGTAGCAGGGACCAGCAGGCTGCAAGGATGGGAGCCCTGGCAGTTGGCCCAGCACGAAGCCTCGTTTTCCATCAGTTATCCTGTGCTCCTGGTCATTCTCAGTTACTCCCAGAAGGAGCAGGGCAACTGTGGCATAAAAGGAGACATACTGGAGACAGTATTTTTACTGGGGATAAACTGTAAATTAGTAGAAAAATCACTAATTTATTTTCTTGTATGGAAATTTTTCTAGTAAAGATATAGCACTCCTTTCAAAAAAATCCGGTTATATGTATTGTTTGTGGTGTTGCTTTTTTACCTTTTGATGAACATCTGCTGTGGACAAATGTAAAAATACTTGGTTCTATTTATGGCCTTTCAGGTGGTTTTGAACTTCTAATTAGTACTTCTGTGAGAAACATAAATTCCCTATGAGTTTTGGTGCTTAAGCTAGCTGCATGAAGTAAACACACTATTGTCTCAAACATAAAGATACGAGAACTGGGAAACACAGAGATCAAGATTTTCCAAATTTAGACAATATTTCAGTGGGAGAAATAACAGTAAACCACAGGGAGCCTTTTACTCTGTTCTTTATGCCTCCTGATGTCATATTAATTAGCATGTCCTTAGCATATAGGTTAGTACATTTCCTTTATTGTATCAAACCATGCTGCTGTTTAGATAGAGAGCAAAATCTACATGTAAAGAAATAATTTACTGCCAAAGAAAAATCAGAAATCCAGATATAAGTACCAATGCAATTATTTAATTCCTGGTTTATGTCTTAGTGATGTCACAAAATACAAATCAAATGGAAAATCAGGATTCAGATGTAGTATTTGCCAGAAGCAGAATGCACTCAAACTGTTTCTGATTTGTCATGTGTCTCCATATTTTGAAGTGTAATTGATGAAATTGATGAATATAGTGGAATACAGTGCAGAAATCCCTGAATTACTGATGTTTGAACTTGCAAGTCCACACAGCATTGTGTGTGCAGTTACGAGTCTAATTCTGGAAAGACTGTATTGAATGCAAAATATCTTTGTTTAAGAATTATTTATGTAAATATGGGTAAACAGCAAGGACCCACACCCTCAACTTCATACTGGAATTCCTTACTCATGTCACTCAGCATCTCCTTTATTGAAACAAAACTTCACTCTCTTCTACGTTTGTTCTAGGTACACTGTGAAAAGGAAAAGGCCAAGTTACGTATCCGTGCTAAGCCATCTCTCTTTCAGCATGTGGGAATTCATTCATCATTGTCTGGAAAGATACAGAATTTGAAAGTAAGATGATGAAATTTCTCACATATTTCTAGTTTGTTATGGATGCTTACGTTCCGATTTGTTTCTCATACCAGTATCAAGGACTGGATCTTAATGCAGGCATTAGAAGGCATTTCTAAACTCAAGAACTGTTTCATGACAGATTTTGGAGATAATACTAATCTAACATCAGAACTGCAGGCGGTGCAGACTGTTCCTGGCAGTGGTGAATCTCACAGCGTGACCAGTCATAGCAGAATCGCATCGCACGTAATCGGGGCCCTCTTCACGGTGCGAGATTGTAGTGCTGCACACCATACAAACACAAAGGGTTGTGATGGTCCTGCGTGGCCAAACAGCCACAACCCAAATACGAGGGCTTATGAATAGGAAGGATATACTCGCAGAACAAGTGCATACTTATAGCAGTGACACTGGAAGTTTTCAGGGCTAACAAACTAATCTACTGAGCTTTTTAGAATCCACTATTTATCTTTTAAGGACAAGAACTAAGAAGTATTGGACTTCAGGAATGTTCCTTTAGTGCCTTTTAGACCACTCACGATGATCAAATTGTTGTAGTGGATCAGACTAGAGTTTACGTAGCCTCTCGCAGATAGCATATATTCTGGTGGAAGGTGTAACAGGCAGCGACAAAACAGGCCACCCCAAACAAGTTTATTTTTAAATCTAGAAAGCTCAGTAATAATCAGTAAAGTGCTGTTTAATAAACTGCAACATTGAATCTCGGTGATTCCACTGAAGATTTCTGCTAGAAATAGGTTGTGTATTTTTTAAAATGGAGTTACCCTTATTTTCTGAAATTGTTCTCTGTAGTACTTCATGATTTTGGAACTTTTTTTTTCCACTGTATTTTTATGTGTGAATTTACATTTCTTCATATCCAACAGGATAAAGATTTTGGTAAAAATGTGCTACATAAAGCACACAAAAATCCACCTGCAACACTGGATACAAGCCTAAAAATTTTTCAGCAGTATACCTTGGAAAAAGTTTACGAAGGAAGAGACTGTTTTTGGGCTTTGGCGCCCGTGGCTGGGGATTATATCAGCTTCAGCTTTTTGAAGCCACTAAAAGTAGAAAAGTAAGTACTACCTGATATGGAAGTCTACATGTTTCCATTTTGGGAAATTACTTAGTCTGCTCAAAATGACAAGTGCTCAGCTGTTTGCATAAACTGTGGCCTTTTTAGTGACCTGATACCTATGATCTGCTATGGATCTGTCCCCACTTCTTGAATTCTGCTATTGAAATACTTTCCTTTTTTAGTAACTAGAGGGCTTCTTCATCGTTTCCTTTCCTTTCTTCAGTTAAAATATTTCACATTCTGCATTTTATTATGGTCATTATGAAAGGAATTGGTTTTTAACTAATGCATTTAGTGAGTGGACCTTAGTTTTTACGGTTACCAATAGAAAGGCTGTTTACATTATGTTGGTCAGGTCACAGGCTGCTTCCCAGACCAGCTACACACTTACTCATGTGTGTGAAACTAAAGAGAAAATACCAACACTGTGGAGAAACAAAGAACAGCAAACTACTTAAAGGTGGCATTCAGAGAGTTCAATAGGTGTGTTTTTGGTGGAGATGCCTACATGAGAGGCAGGTGTCTAAGCTCCTACTATGCAGAAGATCTGCTTGATCCAGTCAGAGGAATCTGGACAGCAGTTCATCTCATCCTGTGCTTGGTCCCCTGAGTTGCTCTTTAGGCTTTGCTGGCTGAATTGAGTCAGAGCCTGTAGCAGGAGCTTGAGCACCTAGTTCACACCTAGAGATCTACTTTCAAGTGTCCAAATATAGCTGATACCTACCTCCTACCATAAGCATTTTTGTCATTAAAAAAACAAAGCAAAACTGTCTTCTGTCTTCTCACATTAACAACTTGTGCTTCTTTGAAAGGAAGAGATACCTGTAGCTTAGGACAGAGAGGTGTTTTTCAGAATAATTTACTCTGTGAACAATTCAAACTGATGGTCTTGCCAAAAGAAGTCGTCTTGCCTGGTTCAGCAAAGTTTTTTCTTCCCATGTAAATCTGGGCACCTGTTTTGAGTTAAAACTAACCCAGCAACATGTAAAACTCTAGGGGAGTATCTGACACACACTACCATATTCTCTGCAAGGATATGCAGACAGGAAACTTGTTTTCAGTGGAGTTTCCAACCAGTCACAGAACTGAGAGACTTTCATTTCTGCAAATATTCAAGATTTCTCATTTATTATGAAAAAAATTGTTAAAACAAGCCTATATCTCCATCTAGTGATCAGCATTAAATGCCAGCTATTAAAATAAACACTGGAGCATGAGTAGCCTTCTGTAACTCGCATTGATAGTTGCCTGGCCTATGTTTTGCAAAGGTAAGAGTCCTGTGTTTTTGCGTTTTCCTATTTGTTGGATCTGGACGAAGCTAGCTTACATACAGTATTGCCTTATGGCTGCCTCCTCCCTGCTCCTGTGACTGACCCCTGAAAGTATATAGTGAAACTTGTAATATTCTGTGGTTTTCTTAGGGCTCAATTGTTTGATGCTGGAAGAGGGAGGTTAAAGCTTTAAATTTCCTTAGCCATTTTTGGATTAAAAAAACCCAAAGAACTCTAATGCTAGAAAATTAAAAACAAAACTTTTTTTTTTTTTAAACTCACCGACATTTCCAGATGATACTGATAATTGGATTCTTACTATGGCAATACTGTTGCATCAGTTGATCCATTCTGATGTAGAGGGGGATTCTCTTGACATGAAGAATGTGGCAGAGACTGTGGTGCTTTTTCTACTGTTGTACTACAGAAGCCTTTCCCCCCTAAGCCTTAGCATGACAGGAACTAATCAGAAGACAGATTTTCATTAGCCATCTAAGCCTGGAAAAAAAAAAGATTGATTTGAGATTTGAGTACAATAACAGCAGAACTGTATTCTTGGTTTTCAGATAAGGATGGGTTTAATGCTTGTTCCATTTAAAAAGTAAATCCTCTGGTTTGATCACGTATTTGAAAGTTTTAATGCCTATTTTCTGTTCTCTGTGGCTCACAGCTGACTCCAAAACAGGAAAAAAAGTACTTATCGAGATTTTTTTCTCCCTGAAGCATACAATATACACAGAAATAGTATATTTTTTATCACAATATACCTCTTATAATCAGGTACCTGTTTAGAAGTGGAAACATGGAACACCCAGGTGATAAACTGTTTGACACCACTGTGGAAGTATTACCTGCTGATGTAAGTCTCTCACTTCCAGCTGTAAAATACAATGTTGTTTCATTTTATGAATGATGTTGGCATAAAGGACCATGTCCTTTTAACATTATTGGAGATTTTCTTCCTTTGTTTGTTACAGGAAACGGTAAAAAAGGCACTGCTTGACAGTGGAAGTGCATTCAACTACCCAGCAACCAAAGATGGATATTTAAAGATAGGTAAGTTATTTACTTCCCAAACCAGAAACTTTGTTCTTATATCTAAAATATTTCTGCACTTGAGAACTTCATTAACTCTATAATAAATACAGTATTCCAAGGTGAGCTAGTAAGGAAAGGAAACACTTTGAGCTACTGCATGTTGTGATATGTGATATTTGACCACTTACTATTTTATTTTGAATATTAAAACCCTCTTCTGGAAGTTACAAAAGCCAAGGCATCTAATTAGAGGAATAATTCATATGCTGCATGGTCTAAGTACAATAATTAATTCTGGTTGGATTTTGCAGGCTTACCCGAAGAGAATAATTTTTTATTGATTATGACAACAGTAACTTGTGCTCCAGCCTGAAATGAAGATGGAGCTTCACACAATGCATCTCCCCCACTTTTGTCCACACCTCAGCTTTCCCTTTCTCCCCTCCTCAGGGCAGTCCTCGATGTCTTCTCTAAATGAACTGCAGCTGCTGCATACACCTGCCAAGGTCTTGCGCTAAACTGAAAGGCCACCGTGTGAACAAAAATGGACTAATGCGAGATGTGCTTTGCTTGCTGTCTTCTCTGTCTCTCCTACCACGTCACTGCTCCTCTCTCCTGACACCTCACTCCCACCTTTCCAGCACTTCTTGTCTACTTTAATTTGCATCTCTCCCCCACCTCCTTTTGGCCCTTTTCCTCAAATTAGAGCTCTAAAACCATTTCTAATTTCTAATTTCTAATAAGAAATTAACGTCATGTGGGATGAAGTGATGTCAACTCTGTTGCACATGCAAGTTGATAAGAAATTAACGTCATGTGGGATGAACTTTTTTCATTCTGCTGCAGTGTTTCTATACCAGTTTAACATGGAAGAAAAGAGAGGAAAAAAAAAAAAAAGAAAAAGGGTGGAGGAAAGTGAAGGGATATATCAGATTTGATCCATGATTCTTAGTATGTCTTTTAAAAATAATTATAACTCTGAGAAAGCTCTTTTAGATTCTTTAACGTGACCATATGGATCATATGTATATTGGCATCACTACCTTTTTTAAAATTTCTTTTTAAAAAATTTGTTAAATTTATTTTTTTTAACATCTTTATTTTTTGCCTTTTTTTCCAAGCAAGCTCTTAATAGGCTTGACTGAAAAATGAGTTATTCTGTTCAATAGAATTCTTCTTGTTTATAGCTTGATTAGCTTGATCTTTCAGTTTTTATAGTTTGAACTTTCCTAAATGATTTTTTTTGCTAATGTTGCATTGCTGGAGGTTATTTATAATTTGTAATTTAGACTCTTCACATAAGTTCACTTGAAAGTGTATTTTCTTCTAATATATACTAGTACTGATCTTTTTAAAATTTTTATTTAGGTACTTTTGAAAATGGAATTTCAGAGGGCAGCATCAGTCTGTCAGTAGGAAAAATACAGGCTATTCGTCTGTCAGTCAATTCTGACTCTCCCGTATGGGCAATACTTAGTGAGGTAAGCATATGGGGAGCATTTTAATCAGTCTTTTATTAAATCAACTGCAGTTCCTCTTACCACATAGTTCTTTCGTTTTCATCTAATTTTGAATGAGAACTTGTGCAAAAAAAATTTCCCTGAGTAGAGAAATGTATTAATTATCCAATAGAGGAATCCAGAAAGTACTGGAAATGTTTGAATGCGATGACTCCCTGGTTTCTGCAACACTAAGTACAGTAACTAGAATCTAGGTCACGGCTGTTGTGAAAGTAAACAAAGCAAAAGAGGCAGCTAAGCATTTTTAGGTACTTTTCAGTCACCACCGTAGATATTAGTCACAACATGCAAACATTTCCAGATTAACACAGATCTTTTTTTTTTTTTATTCCAACTGTCTGAAATGCGTGTGAACCCTGTAAGTACAAAACATTCAGAAGAAGGCACTGAAGAGATTTACTAGAACTTTAAACTACTGTCATGCCTGCAAGGAGGGGAAAAAGCTGACGTTTCACTGGATGCTTTGCACATTCTAGAAAATAATTTAACTTCTGATTTTTTTTTTTCAGGTGTTTATCAAGACCTCTGAAAAATGAAACTTGAAAAAATTATTCTTTGAAGTGCCACTTTCTACCGACTTTTCTGAAAATCTGAAAATTAGGCTAACAGCAGCAGAAAGCCCATCTGGCTGAAAAGAGCATAGCAAAACAGATCCAAAGTACTTAGTTTTTAATACTGTGTATCAGACAAGAGTGGAGGTAACTTTTATTTTTTTTTTAATGAAGAATATTAAAGGCTGTGAGGAACCTGATATTATATTGTAGAATAAGTAATTCTACAAAATGTTCTTGGCTGAACTTTCAAATATGAAAATCCCACCTTAATGTGGAAATGCTGAGTAACTGTTCTTACTAACAATCAACAAGAGTTTACAGAATATCTCAGGGACAAAAGCATACATTTATGCTAAGTCTCACCAGAAGTAAAAATGAGGGCATTTGGGGGAAGAAAAATGAGGGTGAAATTTTCAATTTAGTCACTAAGAAAACTGGTTAATTTTGAAAGGAAATTAGGTATTTTCATTATACATAATGAAAAGTTGTCAATATTAATTGCAAGACCTTAGATATTAGTCCATCAGAAAGAGGAACAACTTAACAATATGAAAAGAGACTTCAGACTTGGCATAATGACTGTGTTTCACACTTAAAGTTAATGCAGAAGAAAGTTTATGTTGTTTGTTGTTTTTTTAAATGGGAAGTGCCTCAAAGCTACCCTTTAAATAACTTGAAAATCAAATAGTTTTGTAAAGCTTTTAGGATTGTAAAGCTTTTCACTGAGTTATGTATAGTATTAATTACAGAAAATACCTGGGATATTACATGTAATTATATTTTTGTAGAAAGAAAATCTATTTAATTTTGGAGTCTATAAATTGATTATCTTTTTATTTAATTTTATTTCCTGATATTTAAATCCTAACCACAATGTAAAACAGCAAATACAAATTTGAAAATAAAAGTTAAGGTGCACAGTGTCATTTAAAATGTGTTTGTACCTTGGATGTGTATCTGTGATGTGCAGAGTTCCTACATCACCTGTTTTTTAGAAAATCCTTAATAATAATTTTAATAATAGTTAGTGGACCAAGCATGGCAGCCTTCAGAAGGTTAAGTGGATGCAGTTAGTTATGCATAGGGGAATCCAGAGTGCTTAGAAATACACAAGGGAACACATTTACCCATGAGCACGTACTAAAAGACTGGTAGATTGTGAAAATACAGTGATGAAAACTACAGCTAGGGAATGGAGGGGAGTAAAATGGCTGTGCACAGAACCGCCTGGCATGTGAAGGTGAAAGCCTAGAAGAGCCATTCAGATCCCTCTTTTTTTTTTTTTTCTTCTTTTCCTGTCATCTGAGTTGTCCTCTTATAAGGTCTGTTGCTCCTGCTACTGAAGTAGATAGAAGATGATATAAGTAGAAAGAGCATCTCTTCTAGAATATTTTGCTAATTACACATGATCTATTAAAAAAAAAGGGGGGGGGAATAATAAGTTGTAATTATTTTCATTCTACACTGCGAGCTTTGCCTTTCATTTAATGTCTTTATGTTTTTACATCATCCCTAAGACCATTGCAGTGGCAGAATACATGTCCTATTGCTTGGAGGTAAAGGAGCGCTGTGGGTGTTCGAAGAGCAGGCGCTGGCGCACGCGCTGCTGCGGAGGCTCCTGCCGCCGCCTCCCTTCCCTGCGCTGTGCGAAGCGCAGAGGGGTGCTCAGCGCAAGGCTGCAAAATTACAGCCCTGCTGTGAAACGAAAGGCACCACCTGGGAAGAGCTTTGGGTTTTCACTGAAGAAGTGATACCTAAATTGTGAGTGTTGTAGTGCTAGTAAGCTGAAGAGATGAAAATGCATGACTTCTCTGGTTTGTGAAGAGGTGAATATTCACCCAGTGGAAATCGTAAAGTCTATTGTTAGCAGCTTAGAACAGAAAAACCTACAGTGGTCTTTGATGACACTACCAAATGAAAAAAAAAAAAAAACACTTATCTGCATTAGTTTATTATGACCTTATACTGCCTGAGAGATATTATCACAAAATAGATATGACTATTTGGATTTAGCATTCATTTTACATAAACACAAACCAGAGTTACGTAGTCAGCGGCTAAACCCCCGCCTGCGCGGGGCCGCGTTCGCGGCTCCCTTCGCCCTGCTCTCCCCCTGGCCCAACGGCGCCCAGCGCCGCTTCGAGCGGCGCCTCCCGCACGCCCGGCACAGCGTGCGGGAGCGGCGGGCGGAGCCGCGCCCATGATTGGACGGCGCGACCCCAAGCCGCGCGCGGATTGGGCACGGCTCCACCTGCGGAGCCCTGATTGGCTCGGGCTGA